TCTACAAAATTTGTTAAATAACATGAACATGTATTGTAAAGCATGGAATATTACTGTTAATACTGATAAAACTGTAGTCATGGTTTGTAAATCTGGAAACAGAACTCAAGATTATGATATATTCTATGATAGTGAAAAACTAGAAGTTGTGAGAACTTTTACATGTGACGCTTTCTTCTAATGGTCGTTTTTATCAAGCACAAAAATCGCTTGCTAATCAAGCTTTAAAAGCTTTGTTTCTTTAAATGCATTATTTGATAAAGTTAATTTTGAGATACCAGATAAATTAAAATTATTTGATACCATGATTATTACCTATATTAAATTATGGATCAGAAATATGGGGGCTACATAAAGCCCCTGACATTGAAAGAGTACATTTGAAATTTTGAAACAGTTGTTAGGTGTAAGGCAACAAACTGTAAATACAACAGTGTATGGAGAATTAGGAGGATTTCCATTAATTGTATATAGAAAGATAAGGATATTGAAATTTTGGTACATAATTCTTAAGAATAACGACAAACTTATTTATAGAATTTATAGTATGAGAAATGATAATGATGTTTTATTAAACAAGTGGTCCAGTGATGTACGAGATTTGTTGAATGAGTTAGGTTTTCCGTTTTTATGGAATCATCAAAATATTACAAATGATCAACTAAATATTTTAATAGCACGAATAAAAGATCAATACTTACAACAATGGCAAAGTGAAATCAACAGTTTACCTAAATTAGAAACTTATTGCATATTTAAAAATGAACATGTTGCGGAAAAATATTTGTTATGTGTTAGTTATTTAAATTATCGTACTACTTTATGTCGATTTAGATGTTCTGCTGACAAATTACTGATAGAGGAAGGTAGACACAGGAATATTCCAAGATCTGAACGAATCTGTTTACGTTGTAACATGAATGTTGTTGAAAATGAGTATCATTTTCTATTAGTGTGTCCCTTTTATAGAGAAATAAGATATCGTTGCCTTCCTAATTATTACTGTTCTTGGCCTAGTATCCAAAAATTTAGAAATATTATGACATCTAGCCAAAAAAGTATTATAAATAAACTGGCAAAGTATTTATACCTAGCTACATGTAAACGAGATAAATCTGACTGTTTAAATACATATTACTATTTCTTTACACTTTTCTCAATAATATTTTTTTTTGTGGGTGTGTGTGTGTTTGTTATTCTCATTGTTACCAAATGTATTTTATTTTATTTTGTTGTTTGTTTGTTTGTTTGTTTTCTTGCCATATTACATGCACATTATATCATATGTATGGCAATGAATATATTGTATGTTTATGCTGAATAAACTCTTGAAACTTGAAACTTGGTAAAAAGATAAATTCAAGATCTGATTGTAATTGAACTCGCTATTTACGCCAGCTGTATCGCCTTAATCATTCCTTTACGTTTAAGTTCCTTTTATTTTGTCACGCAAATTCATACTTTACGTTTACAACCTCTTTCTTCTTTCCTAAAATGATATGATTACTGCTTTCATATTGTGCTTTTGAAGGAGGAAAACTTTTACAAGACTGATGTTATAGAGGCACGTGATATTTAGAAATTTGTTCTTATTATCTTTGACAAGAACATTTTTTATAGGAAGTACTTTCGTGACAGAAATTTATGACTGTACAGGGGAGACATACGAGATTATATTTTTTTCATCTCATGGCCACGAGAAACAATTTCAAAAGAAAAAGATGCCTTTTGGCCGCAAAATAATAACATAAAAGCACAGAAACTAAATTAACTCATGGCCCCCTGCAAAGAAATGTTCATTGTTTTTCCAGGATGTCCCCATCTGTGATCCCGTAGATAATACATTGAAATGTTATCTATGTATGTAGATGGATAATTGATACTAATTTGAGCCGCGTCATGGCAAAATTAACAGTGGGTTTGCGACCAACATGGATCCAGACCAGCCTGCCCATCTGTGCAGTCTTATCAGGATCCATGCTGTTCGCTGTCAGTTTCTCCACTTGTAATAGATGTGGTAAGCGAACAGCATGGATCCTGATCAGACTGAGCGGATGCGCAGGCTGGTCTGGATCCATGCTGGTCGCAAACTCATTATATTGGTTTTGTCATGTCGCGGCTCATACCAGTTACTTAAGTAGTACATTACTCCTTAAAATGCTATCATTTTTATTTTCAAAGAATTTTTATTTTTGTTGTCCTGCTTCAGTTCCCAAAAGGTGAGTCCATAACCCTGAGCAAAAATACCATTATGTTAAGATATTGCTACCTTAATTTCAATTTAATTCACATTCGGTGCTATTTTCTTTAGTTGACATGCAACCAACATGTTCGATGTTGTCGATTTTTTTTGTGTGTTTGGCACTTTTACATCATTAGAACTTTGTTGATTGAAATACCTTCGCTTTCAAGACTCGGATTGTATTCAAGAACAGGTTATACATACCGCATGTTGTTTAATTGTACTTTACAACTGAAGCAACATTTTGAAAGTAATGAAGTATATATGATAGCACGCATTGAAATATTATTAGCTCAAATAATAAACATCAACATTATGTAAACATTTGTCCGGGTGTGCTTCTTCGCATTTTACTATTCAATATATTTCTTATATTGTATGATAACAATTTTCAACTTATAACCATTTGGTAAAATAATTATACCCAAAATCTACAATATTCTAATATTCTTCAAAGCAATCAATGATCAATGTACATTTTTCATGAGGTTATGTAAGTATTTAAAAAATTTATGTATATCAATATTCTTCGGTAAACATAAAACAAACACAATATTTTTTTTTTGGTATTCTTTTTATTTGGTGAAACACAACAATCAAAAACCAGAAATGATTGTGTTGAGCAATGACAAATCAAATAATATTTAAAATATAGATAAAATCACAATACATATATAAGGTTTTAATAATGGCTGGAAAAAATGCATAAATTTATTGTCTCATTTTGTCATGGATTGAAATATAATACTAAATAAATACTTTATTTTTTACCCTGAGAGTTTGGACACAACTATTGTTACCCTTATAAAGCTACATAAACTCTATTTCTAATTTGGCACCTGCAACCTATAACCTGATCTATACCCCGATTAACACTTTTACCTTTACCCCTTCAATTTGTAAAAATATGAATTTGTCCAAATTATAAATTGAAACATACCATTATTAGTTATTGGTATTTCAAAATCAAAACACTAATATTGAGCAGGCATCAGTGAACAGTCAAATTTATCGTTTTTTGTTGTTTTTTTTTAGCTTTTTATAAGACCTGCAAATATTTCCCCTATGCTGACCCTGTACAAATCAGTCTGTATTTATTTATGTACTGATGACATCTTTTAATGTCATACCCCAATGTAAAAAGTGTTAGAAGTATGCAATTAGTGCCCATATAATGTATATAAATATATATAAATCATATCCCTATGGTAAACTAAAACAACAAAATAAATCACCATAAAAAATTAAACCATACATGAAAAGTTGTTTAAAATCAGTTTTATGTTGATAAGTTTCAACAAAAATAAAAATGAGCTAATGAAGGGTTATAATTGTAAAGTACACACTTGATCAGGCAGGCATTTACTAACAACACAAAAACAACAGACACTAATAACAAACAACAATAAGTAGATACAAACATATAACTGTTTTCTTTAAAAAAAATAGCCATTTATTCAAAACAATACAAAAAACACATTAACAATTTAAGATTAGTTTAAATACACATAGGCCCTATCACAGTTTGGCCAAACAGCATAATAAAAACAAGTATAATGTTTGCAGAAACTTAAACAGAAAATTCTAGATACCAAAACTATTAGATTCAATGAAAAACAATAAACACCTATCAAAATTTAAATCAAAATTATTGACCAAACTAAAATGGAATTCACAGTTAATGATTTAAATCGAAATTTTTGACCAAATTCAAAATTTAGAACTAAATTCAAAATTAATGACCTAAATTCAAAATTTATTTCCCAAAACTCAAATTAATGACCTAAATTCAAAATAAATGACCACATCTAAATTCATTGACCTTAATTCATAATTAAAGACCTAAATTCAAAATTAATGACTTAAAATTACAACATCTCCTTTTCACCTTTAATACAATGAACATAATTATGAAAGCATATATAGTACAAATGGAAATAAGAAAGCATGACATTGCTTTTTTTATTAAGGATTAAAGATTAAGTAAATTGTTTTTGCATAATTTCTAATGTAAATTTTGTATAAATTCTAATCTAATCCATATCAAGTTTTTCACAAAAATATTGATGGCACTTGATAACTAATATCTTAAATATTACATGTCAAGGTAAATAATTTTATACAAATAATTCTAATAAATAAACTACTTAATTTTAATACTGCAACATTATTTTGGCACAGGACACAACTCTAATGAATCTATCGTTCAATTTAAAGCTCCATGCTTCCAGATTAACAAGATATTTCAGGAAAGTCAAACTTGAGAAAAATATTCTAAAATTTGAAAAAAAAAGATTCAAGAATCAAGTAACAATCAACATCTTATGTGCAATTAATGACTGATTTGCAGTAATTATATGGAAATTACTTTCTTTGTTAATTTCAAAATATTTCAATTTTAAATACATTTTCAAAATTTGCATGAAAAATTAGCATGAATCTGGAGGCATGCTTCTTAAATACTGCTCTAATACTGAATTTGGTTTATGTCTTAATAACTGTGAACATGTAAGTGATTTCCCTCCTTAATTTGCTCAAGGTTGAAACTATTCATCTAAATTAAATGTCATTTTGTTCTCAAGCTCTTGGCAGTAACAAATTTCACAAAAGTTTAATTATGTGTATTATTAAAATAAATACCCTGTCAAACAAAAATAGTGTTGATTTAGTGTTCATAATTTGCTGTGTAAAGTACAAGTGAAGTTTTTTATTATTTATTAGAGCCTAGTAAAATATTTGTTAATTTAATTTAATGTGTCAATGAATTGAATGCATATGTCATTATTAATAAAAAATCAGAAATGGTTAACTTATGGGTCAATATGTAATTAATAATGCAATTAATAATGAATTAAACTTGACATAAATACAGAAATGATGAATTTCTTGTTTAATAAATTACAGACAAAGTTCAGAAATGCTTAATTTGTATTTTAATAATTCACAAAAGTACAAATAAGAACTTAAATAATAACAATCAGTAAATCCCTTCCAGTAAACTTCCAAAGGGTTCCAACATTATCATATCATAGATATCTATAGGAAAAGTAAAAACAATTCCCATTATCTTCTTTGATATATAAACATATTTCAACACTGTCATATTGACAAAATGGAGAACTTTGTTGACAGACACTTCTTTCACTAGTTTGGCAGTTAATTTTCAAACTGTAATTCTATGAAGATGGAAACAACAAAGCAAACTGGACATAGAGTGGTTTCTTCACATCTGTCATCTGTAAAATCTGAAATACAACATAAAAATTTGATTGATTCTATTTTATTATTTTGTTGATGTTGTTAAGGTTTTAGGTAGCTCTAACACAACATAGGTTATATGGTGACTTTCCAGCTTTACTGTTAGGGGAAGACTATGCACTATTTCAGGCACAAATGGGCATCTGAGCAGAACCACTGAAGTTCCGTAAGTTGGCTGGAAAGTTTCCTCACATAAAAGAATCCAAAGTTTTTTCTATAAATACAGGATTTATTCCATAGAGCGGTATAAATATTTCATTAGTGGCAGTAGCCACGAGTGTACAAAGATAATTTTCATTCCACAAGATGAAAATGAATCCTGTATTTATAGAAAAAAACTTCAATTTTTCTGTTTATTATATACATTTTCTCTTTTTAACAGACTTTCCCTTAAATTTTGTATATTAGCTGAATTTAGGAGAAAGTATCTGCCAAGACTCCAGTAAAAAAAAACTGGAAGATATGTTTCATTGCAGTGAAAAATTAATTATTTATACTGAAAATACGAAAATGAAAATATACATTTTATTTCATCTATACTTTCAAGTTTTTATTTATTTGTAAGTATGTAATAAATATTTTTTTTATCAAATATGCACCTTACATGATTATGTGTTGCTTACCTCTGATTTACTTGTTTTCTCACCAAGTCCAAACTTCTGACTCTTTATACCTGTGCAAACAGACTTATTATCTTCCTTGTTCACGTACTGAGCTGTTATACAATATCTCACCTCCCTGTCTACCCTCATAGAAAACGTGTTTCTTTCACATTGACGGAAACTCAAAATAGGGTCACCTGGTTTCAGTCTCTACAAATATATTAATTAACATTACATTATTTCATTGTAAACACTTATAATTCAATACAAGCTTGGAGTGTAAATAAAGCATTATACAATTCTACAAGGTCTCTTTCCATCATGTTTATTTTTTGGGTATGTTTTTTCATAGTCAAACATGAGCTGTCGGAAGGACGGCTTTCTTGACTATTCTCAGTGCTTGACAGTAAAACAATGGATTGATGATGAAGAATTTTCTAACTTCAAAAAGGGCCATAATTCTGTCAAAATTTATGGCAGAGTTATAAGCCTTGGAGAGTCACCTCCTATTAAGCTCTCAAATAAGTGTATGAAGTTTCAACCTATTCTCTTCAGTAGTTTTAGAGATACCAACTTGCATGCGAAAACCTAAGCATGTATGATGCCGAAGCTAAATCTCAAGTGCATACAAAAGCTTTAATTCTTCAAATAAGCTAAAAATGAACAATTTCTTAACTTCCTTAATTCTTAAAGGATAAATAAAGCTTTTTACATAAATGCACAACATGACTATGGAGTCAGAGAGTAAGCAGTCATTCTTTGATGATATTTTAAGTACAATGACGTGTTTGCAGAATTTGAAGTCTTGACCTTGAAAGTTGGAATGACAATAGCAATTCTTTAATTGTTGAGTGAAAGAATATTTTCTTTATATATGTAAGAAATTCTCTTTTGCTAGTCATATGACTGCACATGTACATACTGATAAAATTTAAGATGTGAGTAACAAGTCTGAAAAAAGTTTGTGTTATCATTTGGGAAACACTTAACTTTATATACATTGGTCTGAAATAATGCATCTTTTTCAAATTTGCTGATTTACCTGCATAAAGAAAGAATAAACTCCATCCTTAGATCCTGCTCCCTTCAATTCGAAATGGAAACCATGAAGAGAAAACACCTCCGAGTGGTAAAGAGGTTCCTGGAGGAGAAATATTGTAAATACAGTAGAACTTCTATGAGTCGAACTTCGATTAGTCGATTTTCTCGATGTGTCGAAGTAAAATGAAAGTACCGATTTTTTCCCTTATATATTCCTTATAAAAACCTATCTATGAGTCGAGATTTTATATGTCGAGTTTTTCGATGTGTCGAAGTTTTTTCGTGGTCCGTATGGAATAAATCTAGTAATATTTACCACAAATAAGTCGAAGTTATTGGGTTATTTTGACAAGTTCGATCTCGAGACATTTTCACACCTTTTCTGGCCGCGAAGACGATTTCCGATCAACTTTAGTGACAGGTGTAAATTACACAGCCGAGTGTTCAAACAGCCTTTGTATGCGTTTAAATGTGTGAAAAAATGCTTTAATTACTATTATTTTAATTGCCGTAGCGGTATTTGAAAGAACATGTAAACAGTAAGAACTATCATTTGAGTACTTCCGTGACCCGGTGTCGCGTGATAATCACACGCGAAATATTTACTATAAGCTGGTTTAGTTATTGCCCTTTCGTATTGTTACGCCTTTTGTAAATTCATTGTATACGTCAACAGGGAGTCCAAATCATTAGCTGTGAAAAGTTAACATGTCATATTTATCATTGTTTAATGTAAAATATCAGATTAATGAACGAAAGAAAAACATGAAATAGGTTATGTTATAGATCTTATAATTAGGGCTAGTCACGGGTTGAATTTTTGTTATGAAATTCAGACCGATTCATGAGTCGAAGTCCCGATGTGTCGAAGTTTTTACGCAAGTCCCTCCAACTTCGACTTACCGAAGTTCTACTGTATTTAATGAATTATAAATAACACATATATATTTATTATTTAATATGAATAATTATAGAAATACTGTACATATTTAATAAATAATACATATATTTATAATGAAAAAACGCATCTTGGTTTCCTTGCTTAACCATGATATTTATATAGAAGTATTGAAAAAGTTAAAGCAAAGACTCGCTGTAAGGAAAAGTCACCAAGTTCTCTTCTATTCTAAAAAAAAGACCTACTTTAAAATATTTATCTGACAATTATGGCATCGGCAATATTTACAGTGGGGGGGAGCATTATTAAAAACAATAAAAACAAAGTAAACTATGTTTGTTAAACTAATTCCCGATACCAAAATGTAAACATATGGATATAATGGGAATTTATCGTTATTTAGTGTCCAACTTTATTTGTCATCCAATGAAAACGCTGTATTTCTTAAAAATTCTGAGCGTCAATTTTCATAGAAGTACATATTATTAAGTCGATACTATATTGAATTCCTTCCATAGTCGACTTCTATTTTTCATAGTACTTCATAGAACCCCATAGTGACGTAATAATGTGAATGATAATGAGGCCAAATAAAGCTTGATTATATAAATATGTTAGTATTCATCCGTGCTGTTCTACAGAAATTAGAAACATTTTCCTGTCGCTATCGCTCCTGCCGAAGTTTCTAATTTCTGTAGAACAGCACGGATGAACACTAACATATATGTGTTAGCAGCTATTCACATTAAAACCAGAATTTTATCATATTTAGATGCAATAATGTGATAAAAATAAAAATAAAATAGAAATGTGTCCATAGGACACGACACGGGTGCCCCCACCACGCCACTGTTCTGTCAATCTTATGACTCTAGGTCAAATATTTTTTAAAACTAACTAGAACTATCACTAAATGTGATTAATACCCCCACAAGACTGCTTCGGAAATGAGGATGTTACTAGTAACAGAATTCCTTGTAAAAGAATTGAGATATATAGAGTTATGGTTGTGTGCAATTAAAGATAGTTGTGGTTCTTATATGTTGCATTTCCTTCCAATTTGGTTGGCCATTGATGAAGTTTAATTGAATTACTCTGTAATAAGTCCAGAAAGACAAAGAAAAGGAACAAAGGGCAATAACTCTATAAATACTGAAGATAGAGTTATAGTTCTTGTGCACTACACTTCCTCTTATTGTGCTTGACCATTGTATGAAGTTGTTTTGAATTCCAACCAGTATGTTTTAAGTTATGCTCCTGACAAGGAAAAGTATCAAAGGGCAGTAACTCTGTATTTTGTCAAAATGGAGTTATGGCTCTTGTGCTCTGCACTTCTTTTTAATGTTCTTGACAACTGTATGAAGTTGTATTGAATTCCAAACAGTAGTTTTCAAGTTATGCTCTGGACAAGGAAAAGTAACAAAGGGCAATAACTCTGTAATTAGTCAAGATGGAGTTATGGTTCTTGTGCACTGCACTTTCTCTCAATGTGCTTGACCATTGTATGAAGTTATATTGAATTCAAACCATTAGTGTTCAAGTTATGGTCCGGACAAAAAAGGCAATGGAAAAGTAACAAAGGGCAATAACTCTGCAACTACTTTAGATAGAGTTATGGTTCTTGTGCACTGCACTTCCCCTTATTGTGTTTGACAATTGTATGAAGTTGTTTTGAATTCCAACCAGTATTTTTCAAGTTTAGCCCCGGACAAGGAAAAGTAACAAAGGGCAATAACTCTGTAATTAGTCAAGATAGAGTTATGGTTCTTATGCACTGCACTTCCTCTCAATGTGCTTGACCATTGTATGTAGTTATATTGAATTCCAACCATTAGTCTTGAAGTTATGGTCCGGACAAAAAAATCAATGGAAAAGTAACAAAGGGCAATAACTCTGTAATTACTTTAGATAGAGTTATGGTTCTTGTGCACTGCACTTCCCCTTATTGTGTTTGACAATTGTATGAAGTTGTTTTGAAATTCCAACCAGTTGTTTTCAAATTATGCCCCGGACAAGGAAAAGTAACAAAGGGCAATAACTCTGAAATTAGTCAAGATAGAGTTATGGTTCTTATGCACTGCACTTTCTCTCAATGTGCTTGACCATTGTATGTAGTTATATTGAATTCAAACTATTAGTCTTCAAGTTATGGTCCGGAAAAAAAAAAAAGCAATGGAAAAGCAACAAAGGGCAATAACTCTGTAATTACTTTAGATAGAGTTATGGTTCTTGTGCACTGCACTTCCCCTTATTGTGTTTGACAATTGTATGAAGTTGTTTTGAATTCCAACCAGTACTGTTTTCAAGTTATGCCCCGGACAAGGAAAAGTAACAAAGGGCAATAACTCTGTAATTAGTCAAGATACAGTTATGGTTCTTGTGCACTGCACTTCTGCTCAATGTGCTTGACCTTTGTATGTAGTTATATTGAATTCAAACTATTAGTCTTCAAGTTATGGTCCGGACAAAAAAAAAGCAATGGAAAAGCAACAAAGGGCAATAACTCTGTAATTACTTTAGATAGAGTTATGGTTCTTGTGCACTGCACTTCCCCTTATTGTGTTTGACAATTGTATGAAGTTGTTTTGAATTCCAACCAGTATTTTTCAAGTTAAGCCCCGGACAAGGAAAAGTAACAAAGGGCAATAACTCTGTAATTAGTCAAGATAGAGTTATGGTTCTTGTCCTTGTAAGTCAAGGGCAATAACTCTGACAAAACTGAAAAAAAATCCACATGCAAAGTCCCAGGTGCATAGCTTCACAGTGATGTGAATCTTTAAATTTCCTGTTTTTTAGTGATTTTTGATCATTTTTCCCGGGTAAATTTGGGTTGATTCAAAAACCCCAAGCACTAAAAGGAAAAAATTTAACAAAAAAATGAAAGGGGTTTTTACAAAAGAAAAAGGGGAAAATTTAACTCTAAAAAATACGGGTTTAAACCCAAACAAGCAAAACCCCCCCGGGTGCAAAACAAAAATATGCAGAGAAACCCTTTCCCCGGGAAAAGGTTTAATGACTCTATGAAAAAATCCTTTTTAAAGTTAAAATGTTTAACACAATTAAAAAATTGAAAAAATTTTTTAAATTTAAAGGGGGCAAAAAACTCTAAAAAAAATCCAACAAAAATCCCCATGTGAAACAACTAAAACATCCCTGATCAACTTTCCCCTTTTAAATTTTTAAAAAGACTCTAGGTCAAATACTTTTTGAGTTATGTGTGACACAAAAGAGAACGGACGGACGGACAGATGGACAAGGGTAAATCTAAATGCCCGCCACTAAAGTTGGGGCACAATAAAAACATGTTATTTTGTTTTTCATCATTTCTTTATTTAGCAATATACATGCATATGATCATGAAAATGCAAATATTGTACGTCATTTCTTGGTAACATAGGATCCTGAAGGGGAGAAAACCTGACCACTGAGAAAACCAGACAAAACCCTCGGTCCGAAAACCGTCCAGTTTTCACAAATTTCACTGTATATACAAGTTACACAAATCAGGGAGTACAAATTTTACAAATTAGGTTACTATTCTTCAACAAATATATAATACTATTTAATGTAATTAAACTTACTGTATCCATGATAAAACCCTGCCTGATAGCAGCTGTGTTAAAATTCTTCATCAAAGACATGTCTCCACCCCCTTGTAAGCTAAAAATATAACATTAAAAAAAAAGTACTCAATTATAGAAAAAAAATCTCAAAACTTTTCAGATATTTCCTAACATAAAAATAAAACTGTTTTAAAAAAGATATTTTTATGAAGAAAAAGGGTAATTCAAAAAAATACATCAAGAAAATAGGTCCTTAATCATATGTTTCCTATGCATAGAACATTTTCTGAAATGAGAAGGCATTATATGCATTCTTAGTTTGGCAATAAGCAATTTGAAAGGGAAAACACTAAATCATATCATTACATTGTTTTGGAATTGTGATATCTTAACAAAAAATATAAAAGCAACAATTATAAAAGCCTAAGTGTAAACAACAACTTTTTAAAGCTGCCAAAGAAAGCCTTAAAAAATTATTTCAAAATTTAATAACGCAATTAAATTTCAATTAAGGATATAGAAATTTTTTTCTTGGAATTTTAATTCATAGGGAAAATGAACAAGTAATGTTTGCTGTATTATCAATAAATTGAAAATCAAAAATACATCATTCAGTTAAAAACTAAAAAATTATAATAAAATATTGCATGTCAGGGCTTTATTTAATAATAGTAATTAGGCTACCAAAATATTTGTAAAATTTTGAAAAAAAAGATGAGCAAATTATCAAATTAAGGAATATTTAGTAATGTTTTTTTTTGTTCAACAAAATATAGGTTTAATAAGATACCATAATAAAACTATGAAATTAATCTGTTCATCTAGAAAAAGAGCTAATAATAAGTGCTCTTTTGTCAGATATTTAATTGTAGCTTTTACCAAGAGACAATGAACGCCTCAAATCGCTATGAAACTTTTAAAAAAAAAGGCTTCAATACGCTTCAAAGTTGGCACAAATGTTGACTGGACCATAATTAGACATCTACTAGAAGATGTTTCATGCCAAATATTTAAGCTCTAACTCTTTCAGTTTTTTACAACATGATTTTTTAAGATTTTTTGTAAAATAATCTTTTGGTTGCCATGGCAACCAGAGTTCTTTATGGAATCTTATTCTTTGAAGAACTTTGGTAGAGCTTCTTGCAAGGTACATCCCTGCAAAGTTTCAACAAAAATTTGGCCAAGTGAATTAGGAGAAGTTGTGTAAAGAAATTGTTGACACACGCAGACGCACTGATGCACTGATTTTGAAGTGGTTGAACCTTATTTGGATCAAACAGAGTTCTCAGTGTTTCATACTAGGAAAACATGGTTGTGACCAAGGTATTTTGTTTTTGTTTTTCTTTTAAGAATGTGGATAATCTTGATATTGCATGGGTATCAGGTTTATGTCCATGCAACTATTCTATTTTGTTATGAAGTAAGATTTTTATTTGTCGATCAACTTTAATTTTGATAAGATTTTAGTTTTGATTCAAATCATTAATATCATGTAATAAAATAAGAAATAAAAATAAACAATGGCAGTACAAAGTAAGTGATATAAATATCGTATCTCTATCACAAAAATTAAGTATCTGAATAAACCCCCTGAAACTCATAAAAATTGTATAACAGAGTTAACCCTGCTTTTGATTTGGAACATTCATTCAAAGTTTAAATAGATTTCAATATTAAAATTTAGAATCCAGCAGTTTAGAGAGCCTGGCCAGACTGAATGTATGTAATGGCTAGGTTGGCTCTATACTTTTTTTGGATTTAACTCACTACAGTGTTGGAGCAAGGTCCTCTAGATGCTTGACTGAAATCATGATCACAAGTAGAAAAATATCCTTTTTTGGCTATCACTTAGATTTAATTTTGAATTTTCATGGAATCTTTTTAAACTCATTTTTTTCCATTAAATTTTTGTATATTAATTGGGATGAAAAGAATGAAAAACCATCATAAAATGCATTCAGAGGGGGGGGGGGTTAAAATTGAAAATAAGGGATTTTTTTGATTCTTACCCCTTTTTTTATTTCCGGGAAAACATTTTATTTGCTTACGTCACAAAACTTTTTTCATCTCAAAATTTAAACATCTTCGGTAACAGTTTGGTTAAAATTTTTAATAAGAAAGACAATTTGAATGGAAGGTCAAGGTTATATATACTTAAAGCATGATAATGTTGAGATATAAGGTCAAGGTTATATATACTTAAAGCATGATAATGTTGAGATAGAAGGTCAAGGTTATATATACTTAAAGCATGATAATGTTGAGATAGAAGGTCAAGGTTATATATACTTACAGCATGATAATGTTGAGATATTATAAGGTTCAAGGTTATATATACTTCCAGCATGATAATGTTGAGATAGAAGGTCAAGGTTTATATATACTCCAGCATGATAATGTTGAGATAGAAGGTCAAGGTTATATATACTTACAGCATGATACTGTTGAGATAGAAGGTCAAGGTTATATGTACTTACAGCATGATAATGTTGAGATAGAAGGTCAAGGTTATATGTACTTACAGCATGACAATGTTGAGATGGAAGGTCAAGGTTATATGTACTTACAAGCATGATAATGTTGAGATAGAAGGTCAAGGTTATATATACTTACAGCATGACAATGTTGAGATAGAAGGTCAAGGTTATATATACTTACAGCATGACAATGTTGAGATAGAAGGTCAAGGTTATATATACTTCCAGCATGATAATGTTGAGATAGAAGGTCAAGGTTATATATACTTCCAGCATGATAATGTTTAGATAGAAGGTCAAGGTTATATATACTTACAGCATGATAATGTTGAGATAGAAGGTCAATCAGCTTTTCTCTAGGCAATATATTCATCAGCTGCATATCTTGAATATTTCCCGCTGCCAAAATAATAAGTTTATAATACAAAAGTGTCTGTATAATTCAAATAGCAAATGAAAGGCTATAGAGTTTTATAATTGAAACCAGGCAAATAGGTAAAGATTTAATTTCAATATATTAAAAAAATTTCATTTCCTGCAACATTATCTCTTTTTTCGTCTTTGTGTAAAAAATAATCACTTAATAAATAACAAATAATATGTTTCTATTTTATCCTAAGACAGTAAATATACAATAGTGTTGAGTAGTAGAAACATTGACTAACTAAAGTATATTGAATTGTCAGCGCAAAAAGGACAACTTTTGTGCAAAGAGGAAAATTCACCTAAGAATAATTACATGTCAACGGTCAATCTTCTCTCAGATTTCATGCATTAAAGTATCATAAAATCGCCTCTAGGGGGGTCAACAGTCACAGTGAAACATAATATCCATTTACAAAAAAGGTTCTGAATAATAAATGGTCCAAATTGGTCTGCCAGCAAGACAAAGAACCGAGATGTCACCTCATTGTGGTAAATGTCAAACAAAAAGCAAATAAGTAATTTTTTTCGGAGATTATAAAAGAAGAGAGAATGTCTTGGAATAATTATGCCTCTAAGTTTTTTTATATCAGTTATTTTCATTACTGTATTAGTTGTGTAGTAAAGTGTAGACTTTGTTTACAGACTTACTACCCCCCCCCCCCACCTTAGAGCACTGAAATGTGGCTTGACTGGCTGACAATAAATAAGTTATAGATATCAAAGATATCAGAGGCACATTATGTCTCAGGAATGAAGTAATATTTCCTTCTTTAGAAAAGGAAACCGTTAGTCTTAAAATGATAAAATATTGGTTTTAGAGCATGTTATATGATTAACACCTGAAAAAGTAGCCCTGAATGTAAAATTATGCTAAATGAGAAATTACTCATTTATTGGTACTTTCCCATAACTTGTATAGAGCCAGGGTAACCTAGCATTTTAGCTATTAAGCATAGGTTGCCCATAATCTTGTTGGTTTTTTTCCAAATTCAACAATTAGCAATTTAAAGCTTATTAAATAGACCAAGGAGGGGAAGGGTGTGGTATCTTAGAAAACTGAACTCAGTTTTTTTCAGCTTTTCACTGTTACCTGTACAAGAGGAATTTAATCTACCATAAGAATGTACCTGAAACTTGTTTGACAATTTACCACATAATACTTCAATGCTACGGAAGGTTTTTTATCTTGAAAGAATACCATCTTGACGCAACCAACATCAATACCACAACATTGCAGACAGAATAATGATAGATTTACTCGGTGTGATTTATACTTACTGTCTAAAATTCCATGAAGTCGTACAGCTGAGAATAAGGGTGAATAAATCTGACCATCATCTCTCTCAATAAATGAGGTTGTCTTTGGTAAACTAGAAAAAAATAAATTTATGGAATAATATTGTAATCTTTACAGAATATTGCTTTTTAAGTGAGGAGAGAATATGCAACTGATAACAAACTAATATATTACTATTTTATATCTACTATATAATATACTCATTACTTTTTTAATAAAGTTTTCTTACAAACTGCTTTGTAAGAGAACATAACTTACTATGGTAAGGTTTTTATTGTCAACAAGGCACATAAAAAGCATGATTTAGGCAAATTCATGTTGTGTGGGGAATCCTAAATATATATCAAAACATGATTAGCAAATCCATGTAAAGTGGGAATCTAAAATGAAAATCGGAACAGGATTTGGCAAATCTATGTGTAATGTCAGAGCATTAGAGCAGATGTATATGATATGGGAACCTTACAATTATATCAAAGCATGATCTGGCAAATCCATGTGATATGGGAATCTTACATAATTATCAAATAATGATTTGGCAAATCTATAATATCTGGAAATCTTACATGCATATCAAAGCATAATTTGGCAGATCCATGTGATCTGGCAATCTTACATAATATCAGAGCATGATTTGGCAGATCCATGTGATCTGGCAATCTTATATAATATCAGAGCATGATTAGGCAGATCTATGTGATGTGTTTATCTTACCTATTAAAGTATGAAAGTACAGTACTGTGTGAGGGCATTAGCTGTAGATGTGGATTTAGCTGCATAAATAGCCAATAAGCTAGAGTTCTATATACACTGTATTCATTGAAGACAAATAAACGATTGGATTTTACAACTTTCTGAAGCAGTTCCATCGGCATTTCACGAAGCTGGATATTTTCCGACAGCTGAAAATGACAATCAGAAAGTTAATACAAATGTACCTCAATTTCGTATTTATTTTGTCTCGATGTTTTTTTCACATCCCAAAAGAATCACTAGAATTACACAATTTACATTGTCTGAGGCAAGTATCACATGATCTGACTTTTATTACATACAATTATTTAAATGAGAAGATTTCTTGTAATCTTATATATATCTCAAGTTACTTAACAATGGACCCATAAAATTCAGCAATTCCTTTGGAATTTTGATGAATCTAAATGTGACTGTCTGTTTGGTTAGTTTTTATGCCAAATTTAACACATTTTTATCTTATCTTATAGTTTACTATTGCTTCCCTGGATAATTATAAACCTGTTATTCAAAATTTCTCTTTAAATCACCGAGTTCCAATCCCACATGATTTCTGAATCAGTGTTGAAAGACAAATGCCCATTGGACTCAATGTCCGATGTCAATTGTCACATATATATTTTGCCTTGCCCATGGATCGGACAAGCCCCATGCTCTCGCCATAGAGTGGAGAGGGCAGACTCTTTCTATAAGGAAAAGCCCTGCTTATGCATGGTATATATTAAATAGATAACCACAGGGTTTTTTTCTTTAGCAGAGCTTGAAAGATGTTGTATAACATCTTGATAATGCCTGTATGAATTGAAACACAATAAAATACATCTATTTCTAATAGCCTCACTTCTAGCCTAAAACCTTCTGAATTTTTGTATTGGATACCCTTCTATAAATTTGGAATTAATTGAGGGCTTAGAGCAAAACTGGTCCATCTTTACATAGAAGTAAAAGCACATGGACCATTTTGCTATAAACCCTGGATTCTTGGATTTTACAACCAACAGTTCAGAGCATGATCAGACTGCAGGAATGTGCAGGCTGGTGCAGCTCTGTACTGGCAGCAAAGGCTAATCATTTTCTGACATCCAGTAGGTCAAATTTAGAAAATGTAACATCAACCCTGTTGCCAGGCAACAACTTACATCTGATATTAAGTTGAGTTCCAACCATCTCTCACAGGCCAACACCACATGCTCTTGTTGATGCTGAAATGATAACAGTCTTCATATTTAATATGTTAGAAAGCTTATAATATATATGAAAATGACAATGGCAAATTGACAATGAATTTATTTGCAATATAAGGTTTCCAGCCCAAAATACAAATTAGTCATAAACATTTGAATATAACACCACTTTTTTATGTTATAATTAACTATAACAATATATAATCTGAAATTGAAATCCAATAAAGTAGCACTTTAACTAGCATTCTGTAATTATCAAATAATATCAAGTACAATAATAATTCAATGTAACTCTCATATTATATATATATAAATATTTACATTTAAGGCAAATTATGCCCCAGAAACGAGTAAATATGTTCTTCTTTAGAAAAGACAAAAAAGAGTTTCAGAATAAATAATGGTTTTAGACCACTAACATTAGATGCTTATCACCTGAGGGAAATAGCGCTGAATAGAAAAATGTAAACAAAGTAGTATTTTGACTTCCATACATATAGTCAATCACTATTATTGCCCTGATTGCCAAAAGCAAAATAATCAAAGATAGGGAGGTTTAATAAGTAACATTTTGACAATCATTAATAGGATACCAAAAATAAAAAGCATTTGGAAATTGAAAATTGGAAGATTTCTGAGGTACAATTGGCCTTAAAGATATAGCATATTACTATAAATATTCAACAATTTTTTTTTTTAAAGTACATAAGTTATTTCAATCACGATGAAAAAGTGTCTGTGCTTTTTTTCAATAAAAGAATTCATTTTCAATATATTTTGGCTAATGCAGTTTTCATTTTATCTAACCAGATGATAATAAAATGATATAATTCAACTGTCAAGTCATACATTTTTTATTGTTTCTAAACAATGGTTATTTTAGGTAACTTATATAAGGTTTTTTTTTTTTTCATCACAGTCTAATATGAGCACACCTAGAAAGTATTTTTGTCTCATTTTGCATGCCTAGTTATTCCTATCTTAATAAACAGCCAGAGACCTACATTACCCTTGTAATCGAAAAATTGCAAGTTTTTGGCTGTAATGTCTGTCTGGGAACAATCCTATGATTTATGAGAGAAGCATATAAACAACACCTTCCATAATATAATCTGTATCATTTCTTGCATCATAAGAAATCAACAGAAATAATAACTATCCAGACAGATAATTAAATGTCACACAAAATGGGGGATTGGTTTTCTATAAAAAGTTTAGCTTTTAGTGTCATAGAATCTGAAATCAAAGAGATTCTGTGGTACTCCAAACAAAGGAATGCTCTAAGGTTATAGCATTAATGATTTTGCCATTTTGAATCCTGAAACCAGTTTGAATTTTCTCTTAAATGGACTTGTCCAGCGTTCATTTTGGACCTGTCGATTATCATTTTTTGGGGATATCAAGATGAAAATTTGAAGTTTGCAAAGAGCAGACTGGCCTGGCTCTGCACTGGTGCATAGGCTAACCTGTTTTTGGTTCTAGCAGGTTCTGTGTTAAAATCTCTGAACAGGTTACTTTTTACAAAGTTACCGCCACAAATACAAAAGTCTATTCTTTCACTAAACTAGTTTATTCCGGATTGTTTTAAAAACCCTTTCCTTGCTTGGAAACCACTGCCATCAGTAATACAGCCAGAGGCCCACCCCCGTGTTAAAGGTCAGCATTATAAAACAATTATAATTTTGGACAAGAAATATAACATAGCCTGTACATCTGTGCAGACGAGAATCTGATCAGGCTCTAAACTGTTTGCTGACAAGCTTTAAATTTCCATCTTGAAATCTCTAAATTGATAATCAACTGTCTGATATAAGAAATTAAGCTAAGTAAAGATTGAATACAAAACTTTACTAAATCATTGTGACCAAGAACCTTGTACATAGGATTCAAACAATGACCTTCAAATTAAACATCTAAGTTTTTAAATTTACAAGCTTTTTGATGGTTTTTTTATATAAAAGCACTTTGCAGTAAGTTTACAAAACTTGTTAAGGTAACAAGTTGAAAATTTTTCTGCAAAGTGCTTTTTACATAAAAAAGAACTCAACTGAGACCAAAAGCCTTACATATAAAATTTGAAATTCTCACATAGATCAACTGGCACATTTTAAAACAGAAAATATCCATAAGATTATTTGTAGTTTTACCTCAAACTGATGAACCGTTTAGGTCCAGATTAAAAGACAAAAAAAGTATATTTAAGAAAATTTAACATGGTATGGGATAATTACCTTTTGAGGCAAACAGCATGGTACTTGCACACAGTTTGATTGTTGATGTTCTTTAGCATCAATTTAGTACACCTGAGTAAAAAACAAAAACAAAATTTTCACCATCATTTTTTAAACACTTATCTTTTTATGTTAAATATTTCAAGATGAAAGTTTTGTTAATATGGAGATAAAAGTCAGAAAATAGGATCTAAGACCAGACAGTTAAGTTATTTTTATATTTAGATTTTGTGGAAAAAGTTTTTTTTTTTTTTTTTTTTCCCTTTCTTAAGTTTTACTCACAGACCTACACCGTCTAAATCATATGGGGATTCCCAGCTTTATTGATGGAGGAAGACCTAAGGTGCCCCTCCTTGTATTATTCAAAAGCAACAAAACATGCACAGGTAGAACCATCAATATTCCATAAGAGAGCTGCATATCTAAGCTTGCTGTCAATGGGAAAATTTACTAAGTTCCCTGGAAAAGATTCAAAACAACAGTCATGAAAGGACTGATCTGGTATAGATGAAGTGATTTAAGGACAGTATTATCAACAAGTTTCAGAGGCCATGTAAAAGTTCAGCATTTTATTAAAATTATTATTTTGGACAAGAAATAATAACATAGACTCGAAGATCAATAAAATAATCAATAAGAAATACCCCTTCCCCCCACCACCCCCCCCAATTTATATTAAAAAAATCTGGAGAAAAGAATGATTCCTTGGAAGCATTTTTGAATCAAACATCAAAAAAATTACATGAAAAATTTGCAGACTCTGTTCGACCGAGTCTGTAATTTGAGGAATCATGAAAAGTGCAACATCCTTCACATCCCCTAGCAGCAACTTGAGTGGTACTTAATTTTCAACAATGTAATAGTGCTAGAAATTAATGATCTAAAAGGACCAGAAAAATATAATTACATAAAAAGTGAAGTACGTGAAAGTTTACATTTTCTCCAGAGTTATTCAGGGTAAAACCAAGTTCATATGACCCATGTCCTTTAAAGAATCACTAGGTTTTCTATGCTAATTAGAATAAAATTTTTGAATTAACCAAAAATGAAAAATATAATCTTGTTGAAAACAATACTATGTCCAATTTATTTTTACAAATTACCCTTTTTAGTGCCTTAAAAACTGTAAAGATGCATGCAGGCTGCGAGAAACCTCTGGCTAGTCTTTCATTAATCCACATCAAATTTTCATCATGATTACATTTGCCAAAGGGCGATTGGGGCCCATTTCCTAAAATGTTAATTATTATTCATTTACTAAATAACCTTCATTTAATGGGAAAATCTTGAAATTAATATAAAACAGAAAAACATTATCCCCCAGGCAGTGTGAAATAATAAAAGATATTTATAAAGAAAGAAAATAAATTCAAGTTTTCTTTGCCACAATTATGACTAGAAAAACTACATTTTGATTTACTGCTTGTTAAACACATTTTCCATTATATGGTTTTTATAATCATAATGACATAAAAAAAAATCAGTAAAAACATAAGTTTTTGCCAGTGCAAAAAAAGAAACATGGTGTAATGAAACAAGCAAATAGAAATAAGAGGGTAAAGTGTTTTTGCAGACTTTTGTAAAAATTAGAGATTAGAAAAATTTTAACCAAAATGATGAAGAAAAAAACCAAGAAACATGTTTACAACCCATGTTATAATCTAGGAATTACAGTTTTCCTTTTTTTACAATTTTAATTTTCTGATTTTATCAAATCAGGCTAAACATCTTATAAAATGAACCAATTAAGTCACCATATAGAAAAATAAGTTGTCACCTTAGTGGCAGAAACAGGTTAAAGTCCTTCTAAATTTAAACAGAGTTAACATTGTTATTGCACCTAAGGTGACAAATTAGTGCTGTTGTTCTTGGCAAAACAAAAATAATACTTATCAATTATATAAGCATAAAGGCAGCATGTCAGTAAATTACCCTAAATTTATAATGTGTACATTTGTAAACATCGCCTTTTCACTGGATTATAAAGATGTTTATATAGTTTTATAATTTACCACTGCTGCTGTCCAATTTTATGAAGAAATCTCATTTTTTTTCTTTAAAGAAAGATTCATGCTGTATTATAAATTCATTATAAATATTTCCTGAACAATGGATTATTATCGGCTGTATATAAACAAGTTGTTTGCCCAATATAATATTTCCAAACAATCGTTTATAATTAGGGTCATATAACATGTAAAGAATCTTTTAATAACTTTATAATATTATACTGTACACATACGGAATTATTTTGTTGCAGATCTTATGGTATATTATAAAATTTGTTTACCAGTTTTTGTCCCCACAAATGGGTCATGTATGGTCCATCTGTATGAGTGGTGACATTATTGACACGCCCCTCAGAACGTGGTAAGTGACGGGTGATCAATCTTCTTAGATTCAAGATCTTTCAAATCCCCGTA